TGAGACTGCCAGTTGGTAACCAGGTGTGTGTGAAAGTGTGGAAAGCTGTGATTATGTCTGTCATGTGTATGAGAGAAGAGCAGAAGTTGTGACCACAAACTTTTGACAGCGTGCCTATATGAGAAATTAAGGTTGTGTTTCAGAAACTCAACTAAGACTGGATGAATGATTAAGATCGCATACAAGAGTTGGGATGTAGCTCAATGGTAGAGTGTGCTTGCCCAGCATGCATAAGGCCCTGGGTTCCATCTTCAGCCTAGCCAAAAAAAATCCTGTGCAAAATCTTGTGATGATCTGCATGACATATTGTTTGTGAGAGGGGACTGGACACTGCAGATCGGTCAGTATTTGACAAGCTGATGCCAAGCAAGACAGAATGCGTAACCAAAACTGAGTGTGAGAGAGGACAGGAAACAGGTGGAGACTGTCAGGGATCGGGTATAGGTGAGAGGCCTTACTATGGGACAGCAGGTGACTGACTGGTAATGAATTGTGGAGTGAGACATAGCTTCTGTGTGAAGCTATACAAGGCTGAAGTGTCAGCTAAAGTCACAAGAGTAGGGCTGGGGATTTAGCTCAGTGGTTTTGCCGCCTGCTGTGCAAGTGCAAGGATCCGAGTTCGATCCCTGATACCAAAAAAAAAAAAAAAACATTCACAGGAGTGCCTGTGTGAGTTGTGTGAGAGAAAATGGCTATGAGGGCTAAGAGATCCTGAGATCCAAGATACGAGAATATGCGTCTGAAAACTTTTCATGGAGACTAGAAAAGACCATAAGAAATCAGATGGCTGGGGCTGGGAGACTCTAATTGTATGCGTGTACATGTGAACCTGAGATAAATGGCACACTGACGTATAGTGTCCACTTCTGCCTCTCCACAGGTTCTGGTGAGGCTGAGGAACTGAAAGGGTACAATAGGTCACAGAATTGTCTATGAGGGAGAGAGAAGAAACAATGTTGGTGAGAGGCAAACAGCAGAAAGCCCAGGAACTCAATGACCATGGGAAAGAAACTTGACAACTGAGCAGTGTCTAAGAGTGTATAAGTCTATGAAGCATTTCATAAAACTAAAGAGAAATCACATGTTTGTGAAAAAAAATGAAACCAAGCCAATGAGACACTGAGTGACTATGTGATCAGAGTGTGTAAGAAACTTATGACGTTGTAGTTGTGGGCATGTGCCTATGAGCTGATTTCGGGAGGAAAAGAGTGGTGTACCTGACTGACACAGGGCATGGACAACTGATTGTGTGAGACGTATGGAGAATCGAGCAGCAATTAGTGTCTGCATGCATCAGAAGTGGGCTAGGTGGTAAGGCTGAATGAGTGAGTGGACCAGTATCTGAGAAATTGGTTGTGTGCTTATGTGTGAAACTCTGTAAAAGGCTTTTTGGGGTTTTTTTGGGTGGGGGGGTTGTTTTGTTTGTTTTTTTGTTTGGTTCCAGGGATCGAACTGAGGACCTTGTGCTTGCCAGGCAGGCGCAGCGCCACTGAGCTACAACCCTGGCCCTGTAAAAGACTTTTTATTAAAGGCTACAAATCAAAAAAAAAAAAAAAATTAAATGCTTACATAACTCCTGTATCTTAGATATTTCTAGAGAAAACTGAAGTCTAATATATCTATGAATAAGCAAAACTAAATTATGAAACATCACTCAAATTTATGGTGGGATTTACAATATGTGGAAAAAACTAACTGATTTATTGTAGAGTTCAGAGATGAATATGGAAAGGTATCCACAGTTAAGCCACAGATCTTAAGAAAAAAATGCTTCAATTAGTTCTCTTTTGCCAAGATGAACTGAAAATAAAAAGCAGATGTAAAATCTGCAGTCGTATATTATTAACATTACAGCAATAGCAGTAAGAAGCCATTCTTTCTTTTGAAAGTGATAACCATGTGCTTTGTTTTACACAAAGGAAATCAGGCATATGAAAGCTAAATGCTGCTTTTAAAAACATGGCCCTACAAGTTAAGTCCCAGGCCAGGTTGTCTACTTGAGAACATCATAATGGGCAAGCTCATTAGGAAAAATCTTTTATCTGCCCCTTTTACAACCACCAACACTTCCTCAACCTCTGAGCCACATTTGTAGGGTCCCTTAACCTATTCTGACTTAGCTGTGTTTATCACCTTAAGTTCACATGCCTACCAGTTTAGCATCACATACCTAGCACATACGGATAGGTCAGAAAGTCTGTGCTTCAACTTGTTCTGAAAACTGTTTTCTTGACAACACAATATGGAGTGATGGATACTGCAGCAAACCTGAGAATCTGTGCCCCACGGAAAGTAACAGTTGCTACTCAATCCTGAACAGCAGCTGCCAAGCAAGGATTCAGATGTAATATTGCTATACTTACTTATTTTCCAAGAGAAATTAGAACTTTTGAATTTTATATGAATTCACCTCATTGTAAAAATTTAGCTAAAAGTACTTGCATAAGCTATGGGCTTTAATTTGTCCTGTAGGCCACACGTTTTCAGCCTTACAGTGTAAGATGGCAGTATTCTATGTGTCTGATCTCTTCTGCCTCCTACTCTAGTTCCCCTTCCTGCTCAGTCCCTTCTTATTGAAAATGGACTTTCTTAGTATTCCTTCTGGATGGTCTCACTCTGTTCCCTAATTGATCCTGGCACATACATGTACCACAGTTATCTATGTATTACTTATTTCCTTCCATAAGGAAATAAGTTCCTTAAACCACAATGACAAAATATTAATTTCATGGATTAAATTCTGTATCCTATACTACAATAAGCACCTTTTGTATATTAAATTAGCTACATAAGAATCCTAAAGAAAATTATTTCCATTTTATAAATGAGAAGAATGAGGTTTAGAGAGCTTCTAATTAATGGTCAAGACCACAGAACTAGGAAGTAGTAGAGCCTAACTTGAAGCAATGCTTCTGTACTCCAAGGTACTATATTTGCCTGACCTAACTTCAGGTTACCCATAACTTCTTATATACAGTGAGCACTCAGTTAGTATTTCATGAATTGACTGCTTAAAAACAGAAACATATTTCACTTAAAAGACTTTCTGAAAAAGCACGAAGAAAAATTACTGATGAATAAATGGTGTGCAGAAGAGTTAAAAATAAAAATACATGAATATCCACTGTTAGTATTTGTGGTTTAGCAATAGATTGGAGCCTATTCATTGCCTAAAGAGACACACAGGGCTCATCCAAGATATTTTCAGTGTACTTATTCAAAAGTATTCCAATCCAAAAATAATATCCATAAAATAGTTTGTCATGTTAGCACTTCTGCCTTGAAAACTGAGTGTGCAATGCTAGTTTTAGTTAGAAATGAGGAAATTGAACAAACACACAAAAGATACTCTTTTTTTGCATGCAAGAAGCATCAATCATTTGCTTTCAACATCTATGATTGTACCGTTCTGCTTCTGTATCCAATGGGAGTCCCAAAATGAAGGGTTTTTTCTCTTCTTTGTAAATATATGTTGTATATATAAAAAATACATAATCTCAGAAATACTCATAATCTCAGTGTGCAAAAATGAAGTAATTAACTGATTTTTCCTTTCATTATTTTTCAAATATTTTTAGCCGAACCATAAATGAACTCTGAAAAAATGTGGCTTAGATGACAATGATGGAATCTGACAATACTCATGCTTTATTTAATGTCCTAATGGCTGAACAAATCTCTAAATTCTCAGTTTATCTTTCAAGAATAACATTTAATAGCCATGAAAAAGACATCTTTCTATCTTTGAGTTCCTTGAACTATAACAACCAAGGGGGAAAAATCAGCTGAAACGTGAAAAGAACAAACATCTCTGAACAATTTTATCACTCCATCTCTACTTCTTCCTTTGGAGATATGGAACCAAATAACACAAATGAACTAGCATGACTTGTGTCAGCATCTTGCAGATTTGGGTGGGGACAAAGATTCCGATTCTCAATGTCTTCTCTGGACTCAGATCCTGATCCAGATGACTAGTGGGAACATTACCATAACCACTGCCATCTCTAGGGGTCAGAAGTGGCTGCGCCTGGCCCTTAGAAAAATAACTAAGGAAGCAAAGACCATTCCACGAGGTGCTGCCAGTCAAACTGATTTTCTGGAACATCTTGACTCTACTCCTTTCCGCTGAGGTAGTTTTAACCAGCTGAAAGCCAGATCCTTAACCTTTAATTGATACTTTGGTGCAAAGATTCACTGTAAATCAGAAGGACTGCCTAGAGGCTAATGATATTTAAATCTTTTAAAGCATCAAGAAAATCACAGCCATCTATAAGTGTACAGAAAATGACACGGTGGAGACTTTACAAAGCTGGTGGAGGAACAGTAGAATAACAAAACAATAGATATTTTCTCTTCAGACTACCACTAAGCTCCAAACTGGATCACAGAAAATACTGAAATTATGGGGACAGTAAAGAATTTTACTTTCCCAAAGCACCACTACTCTCTATATTCTACACTGTCTACCAGCTTTGTAAAAGAATATTTAAGGAAATTATTGAGAGAAGAACACATTCATTTCAAAACCATCATAGGATAGCAGCCATCAGTAAAATAAGATTCATTTTCCATGTTAAATTAAAAGAGCTGAAAGACTGTGGCAGAGAAAGAAACAAGTGGCTTCCATTCCTAAAATCTAGTACCTGAAGAGTAAAGAAAAATAAGGCTCTCAAAGGACTAATTGATACAATATCTATTTTCTTCCCTTTCCTCCTGCCTGATCAGATCAAGAATTAGCTTAAATCACATGGATATAATAATATTAAAGTAAATATTTCCTACATGACTTCATCCCTGAAAATTACCAACACAAAGAAAAATGGGTAGAAGTAACCAAACACAGTGTTATGGAAATGACCGTGACTGCAGCTGTAGTCGTGAAAAATATAATTAGGGGGAAAAAAACCCTGAGTTAATGAGAAGGTTGTAAAAATTATCCGATCCAGACATAGCTCACATAAACCTAAACAGTCTATGTGCTTTTCAATTAAATATACCTGATCATTCTCATTTTCAAGTCTTGGAGAAAAGCTGGGAACTGCTGGAGAGACTGCAGAGAGTTCTTGGAGTTTTGTGTCAATTTCAGCAAGCTGCTCATGCTCGCTGGCTCCAAACAGATATCCTTCTCCTGGGACCAGCCAACCACAGTGATCACCCTAAGAGGAAACAAGAGTTACCAATTCATTCCCGAGGATAAAAAATTAGACAAAAAAGAGGCAAGAAAAACAAGATTTTAAAATTGTACTTAAAAAGAAAAAAAACCTACAGCTCAGGACACAAAAGTCAGTCTTTTTTTTTTCTCTTCCAAGAAACACACTCGAAAATTCCTAAGGGTCTTAAAGACACAGTAAGCAACAAATTGGGCTCTGGACCTGTGCTTTTCACCATAAACTGTGCTTCGTCCATCATCAAGGAAGCAGCAATATAAGTGGGCAGCATATATCAACCTTAAACACATGTAAATGGCTTGCATTCTGACATAGCCTGCCGGATGGAGAACCTGACAGACAGTAGGAATACATATCTTAGATCACTCATCTTGAATAAACCTCCCAAGGCCCCATAAATATACCTAGCTCCATTTCATGGGGTGCCTCTCCCTCCTGAGCCAGTCAGAAGGAAAAGGGGATCGGGACCATGGCTTTGACAAGTCTAACCAAAAGCTTTCCATTTTTTCCTTTCCCATTTCCCCCAACCCTTTCCCCTCTAAAGCAGAGTTTATCTCTTTTTTTCTCTCTTTCTTCCTGTCTATAAACTTCTACAGCTTTAGGTTTTTCCTTTCCAACAGTGAGAGGCTCCCAAGTTCCTAAAAAATGAGTTCTTGTACATAAAAGTATCAAAAACAAGCAGCACGGGCTCCCTCTAACCAAAAATGAAAACTGGTGTTGAGAGGTCTCCCATTTGACATGGAGCAGCCTAGCTGGGCACTCCTTCAGGGCAATATACCCTGTTCCTATGTCAGGTGGAACTAAAATCTGCTCACAGAGAGATGCAGAGCATAGGCCTACCCAGTGTCTTGAGCAAAGTTTCCCAGGCAACCAACATGGCAAAGCTAGTCCCGAGCAGTCATGGAAAAGACTGGTCTCCTGCACAGCAAGAGAAACCACCAGTAGTGTGAAGAGACAACCCACAATGTGGGAAAAATTCTTCACCTGCTGTGCCTCAGACAAAGGTCTACTATCTAGAATCTATAAAGAACTTGAAAAAAATCAGACCTCCCAAATTTAAAGACCCAATCCAAAAATGAGCATCTGAAATGAACATTTTTCAGACAAAGAAGTAGAAATAGAGAATAAACACATGAAAAAATGTTCAACATCACTGGTTATTTGAGAGATGCAAATGAAAACAACGCTGAGATTGCACCTCACCCCAGAAAGAATGGCTGCTATCATGAAAGCAACCAATAACAAATGCTGGCGGGGCTGTGGGGAAAGAGGAACCCTGCTCCACTGCTGGTGGGAGTGTAGACTGGTGCAACCACTATGGAAATCAGTATGGAGATACCTCAAAGAACTAGGACTGGAAGTCCCATTTGACCCTGCTATTCCCCTGCTGGGTATCTTCCCCAAAGAACTAAAGAATCATACCACAGTGATATATGTGCACCCATGTTCATAGCACCACAATTTGTAATAGCTAAAACTTGGAAGCAGCCCATTTGCCCATCAACTGGAGACTGGATAAAGAAAATGTGTTTTTTTTAATAAAATGGACACTATTCAGACATAAAAAATGAGAAATTAGAGACATTTATAGCTAAATGGATGCACGCTGAGGTGAAATCAATAGGGCATACCTGAGTAGATACCGAATAATTTCTCTAGTGTGAGAAACTGAAAGTATTAATGAGGAGTAAAAGGTATAATAGATAATGTGAAATAGGAAGAAAAGGGGCAAAGGGGAAGGGGAAGTGGGAGGAGTAGGGGAAAGGAAAGAAGGGAATAGAATTAATATGAGAAAATGAAAAAATGGAAAAAAAGTCTTTGTAAATAGGGAGGGATGGAGGGGTTGAAGGGAGGACAGGGGAATGGGGAAAAAATAAGAATCACGAGTGATTATGTAAAGGTGCAAATTTCCAATGATGAATGTCATTATATTGTATACCTAAAATGTACCAATAAAGTTAATTTAAAAAGAAAAGAAAAGACCAGTCTTTGTGGTGACATCCACGGAAGCCAACCTCCTTAAACCAGCACACATTTTTGGGTCCTAAACTCTTTAGATAAAAAGAGACCCTCTAAACTGCTCTTTTAATCTTTCCCTCTCCCCCCGACAAAGGCAAAAGCTCAGTCCACTTGATGTACAGCTCTCCTTTCAGTGGATGAACATTTCCTAAACTGTACAGAGTCACGTGGTCATCCAACTGATAACTGACAGTATCCTCAGGACCTGGGAAACTCTCTGGACTCAAACTGAAAAGGAGCCCACTGGTTTCCTCTTTTTTTCCCCCTCCTCTCTCCCCTAACAATGGCCCAATTCCACTCTTGTCCCTTCTCTCCCATTCTTATGATTTCATCTGTCAAAAAATCTCAAATCCTTTAACTTTTTCTGATATTAGTTATCAAAAGAAGTCAGAGAGCTGGAGAGTAGAGGGGGATCAATGGGAGCTGAGAAACTCAAAAAACTTTTCTCCTGGTTCTGGGTACAGGTTCTTGTGTATCCCGCTGCATGGGAGCAGGGAAGGGAAACACATGGCCTTTTCCTGCTGGTAGGAAAGGCCCACAGGTGCTCTGAAAGGGAACAATTTCAGCCCTTTTCAGCTGTCTACCATAACTTTCCTGGGTCCTAAGGCCCCCTGTCCAGCTCTGACTTCAAGTATTTTTCCCCAGAGCCTAATATTAGCTTGCTTCTTCCCTCCATCTTACTTGGTTGTGGTATTCTTGTGGTAATTTTAGTCTCAAGCTTATCTCCCCATCTAAAGTTGTATGTGATCTATAGCCTTCTATGAGTTCCTTATATATATATTACAGGTTCCTAAACATAAACATCTCTAGAGTAAATTTCTGAGTAAAGGCCAGCTGTTGCGTGAAACTCCTTTTTCCTATTTTCCCAATCTACTGATAAAGGTTAAAAAAAGCTATGTGCCAAAAAAAACAGATGCTTGTTTTGGACATGAGCAACACATTTCCATTACTACCAAGGGTGCCTGGACTAGTCAATGGCAAAAAGCAGACCACAGCTGCCCCTCTGGGAATTCCAGCTGTGGGATAACAGTGCAGAACTGCCAATCACAAGGTTCTAACCCTGGGATAACAGGGCAGAGCTGTCCCCTGGGTAGTTCTGGCTCTGGGAAACAGGGTGGGCAGCACACACAGCATGACCCTGACATTAGGTGGGCTGCATGCATGTCCTGACCTCAGTTTGGGGAAGGATGCATGCATAGGGTGACCCCAGAATGGAGCAGGCTATGCTCACAGGGTGACCCCAGAATGAGGTGAGTGTTCATGCAGCCTGGTCTGGAGACCTAAATAGGATCCCATTGTTCTTTCTTATCTCTTTCCAGAAGTACAAAGGGACATCTTAAAGGTGGGTAGTGTATCTTCAATGATTACGGGTAACTAAATGTTTCCAAAACATCACCTTTTAGGCATATTTTATGAACTTTGGATCAATTTAAAATGGAGGATTTTAAAAGGTTGATTTTTCTCTAAACGTAAGTCAAAGAATAAAGAGGAAAGGCCTCAAACTTGGTTTTATAATAAGGAGGGGTAGTGAACAAATATTCTGGCTAGCAGTCCACAGCTCTTGTCTTTTCCCTCTTCTGGCTCTTATTGGTTATAAGTCTAAAGTGTTAACTAACAGGAAAAACCTATTCCAAGTACCTTGAAGTATTAAAGGAAATACTGTCATGACATATATAAGAAAAAAAGGAGAGGTAATTGATACCTCTAGGAAAATTTTTAACTCACTAGTCTATTTATAATTATAAACATAAAATCATGAAAAAGAGTATTATAATTCAGCATGGCCAATGCATCTAAGAGTGCACTCTGATTTAATTGTGTTAATGTGTTTTATCTTTTTTTTGTCTCTTTGTCTGCCTATTAATCTCTTTTAACTGGTTAAAGTACCTCCAGCTGCTTCATTAAAAAAACTATTTTTGAGCTCATATAAATTTATTTATTTATTTATTTTCAGAACCAGGGATTGAACTCAGGACCCTGTGCTTGCCAGGCAGGTGCTGGTACCACTGAGCTAAATCTCCGGCCCTCATATAAATTTATTTTTATCTTTTGCCCTTATAGACTTCTGACAATTTATGACTGGTCAAATAAATATTATTTTATCAGCACTCCAAACAATTTTAAGCAATATACTAGAAAAAGACAATGAAGGTCACAATTCCATGAGGCCCAACAGAGGAAAGCCACCAGGCAAGGTAAGAAACTAAAGGGAAAGGGGGAAAAAAAAAGAAATAAAAGAGCCAACAACAGTAAAACATCATGACAAGGATGAGTCAATATCTATCAATTATAAAAAGCTTCTGCACTGCAAGAGAAACCGCCAACAGATCTAAGAGACAACCTACAATGTGGGAAAAAATATTTAGCAGCTGTACCTTAGACAAAGGACTACTATCTAGAATATATAAAGAACTGAAAAAAATCAGAC